TCCACCCACCTTGTCCGCACGAGTTCTCGCGTTGGTGAGTGACACTTCTCTGAAAGAAACTCTCTGGCGAGCATTCCGTGCGCTCTGGCACATCCAAAGTCTCCTTCCTCGGCGACAAAATAATTTATGGCGGATTTCAGCAAAGAAGCCACCGTTGACACGGCACGACGGGAATCCCAGTTATTTAAAGAACACCAATCCGCGCGTCAACCGCGCGGGACGGGTGGCCCCAGACCATTCAAATCCTACGGCCACACCAAGTGCCGGTCCTCACTTTACTAAAAAAGGACCAATACAACTGCAATCGATCTCCACAACACTAACACCTAGTCCACCATGAGCGACTCAGAGACATGGTACGATACATGTGACGACTTGGAACTACTCACCGAACAAGTCCAAGACATCTCAGACTCGGTACACCTCGTGCAAGACGACTTGGCGTTCCTCACGGCACAAGTGGCCAAGTTAGAGCTGGAAGCCAAACTGCGGGCGGCAACACCCATTCCAACACCATCCGCAGCAACAACACCGGCTCAGCCCCGAAAGAACCGTGCCTTCGTCAAACCATACCGCGAGTTGAAGAAGGGTGACCGCATAATCATCTCCCGCAACGACAAGTACAACGGACGGAAGGTTACCATCCAAGGAGCCCGCCCTGGCAGATGGCCTTTCTGGGACATCAAGCTGGACGCCAAGGTGCCTGGCGGGTATCAAATCGACGTATACAAGACCGACACCGGCTCCCGCTTGATGAAAGCAGGTAACTCCTACAGCCTGGTGGTCGGGACATAACAATCCGAGCAACAAACAACAACAGCCAGAAACAACAGCAACCGCAAAGCCGCCACCTCCTGGCAGTCGGCGGTCGTAAATGGCCGGCTTGGCCGGCCGCACGGGGGATTATCATCTATGGTCAGTCATGAGGGTCTGGCTCCGACGGAGGGTAAATTGGATGGAAGTAGGTTTGTACTGTGATACATGACAGCAGGCCTGTCTGGTATAACCAGGGCCATTGCCTTTGCTGGATCCTAGTCTGGAGGGGAGGTTTACAACTCTATAGACCCATATTGACATGATCTTGCTATAGTCTAGTAGCTCCACATTGACCTAAAGAGTGGAATCGCCCACATTCCCAGACAGGGAATGAAGAGTTCTACAGAACGGAGAGTATGAGTTAAACAGGGAGCCAACCATAAGGGAGCTGACGTGACAGGAATCCGGAGAGCTCACTCATCCAAGATGAGGTGGTGGACCGAAGTGGTGGCGTGTGCACAGGTGGTGTGCCTATGTGGTGTTGATGATAGCTAGAAAAAAAAAAAAAATGGATACTAATCGGCGGCTACAATCAGGTTCACTTTTTCGTACCAGAGTTGCAGCCGCCCGAAACCATTTTCTTTTTCCCTTCCCTCCCGCCCGCGGTAAATTGGATGGAGTAGGTCTTCTGTGATACATGCAGCAGGCCTCTCTGGTATAACCAGGGCCATTGCCTTTGCCTGGATCCTAGTCTGGAGGGGAGGTTTACAACCTCTATAGACCCATATTGACATGATCTTGCTATAGTCTAGTAGCTCCACTTGACCTAAAAGTGGAATCCAGTGGTACACACGGATTCGATTCGATTCGATTCGATTCCTGATGAGGGCTTTCGTTCTTTCATTGAACTTCTTTGGCTTTGCAACAGGGGTGTGGTTATGACTGCCCCACCCAATGTGTGGTCAACTGTGTGGTGCTTGGAACCACGGATTGCTTGTCAAGCAGGCACCTGTCAAGTTGTTTGCTTCATTCAACAAAAGAAAGACATGATAGCTATCTAGCTAGAAACTTCTTTCGGGATTGTGCCCGACTGCAGATTTGTTCCAGTCAGGTGGAGGCAGATCCCAAGTGGATTGGATTTACTAGCTAGCTAGTAGCAACTAAAATCATAGTGCTATCTATGTTTACCACCACTGTCAAGTGTCAAGCACGGCGCTCGTACGGTCATGGTTTACTCTTCCAAATAGAAGCCAGGTACTCATAACAGTTCCCTACTAGACAAAAAATAGCAGCAGTTCAACCAACTAGACTATGTTCATGTTCAGGTTCATAAAAGGGCCACCCGTACGGTACTGAACCGCTCTTGGTGAACGTCCCAGGTGAGCTTCCCAGGCAGGTGAACTCTTCATGAAACGGGCTTTCCTTGACTTTCTTTGGATTTGGAACACGTTTGTCTAGTAGTATCCAGCCATGCAGCCCCCATGTTTGATCAACTGACTTTCAAATGTGAGGAAGCAAATAATGCTGTTCCAGTGTCCTAGCTAGTGCGGTAGGATTGCGAACTCGAATGGGGCCTGCCCGTGGGTGCATTGCCCTCCAGCTAGATATCCACCAAATTGGCGAGACCAGCAGCCATGGAAACTGGAAAGGGCCCTGTCAGACCGACCATTCCGGGTCGCCCAACTCAACTTGATGTAGGCGACATGAAAATGTGGATGCTGCATTTCAAGAGATAAGATTCAAATAGTATGCCAATAAGGATGACAAGAGTCCAAGTTCCAGAGGCAATGCCACGTGCGAATGTGGACTCGGATAATCGAAGGGAAATGGTGGTAACGTGGCCGTCGCCATTGCTCGTGTGGGCTGCATGTTCGTTGCCAAATCCCTGAATGATAATCATGCCTGGTCCGACGCCCGAGGGAATTACATCGGTTATAATACATGTTACCATCAGTGGAAATCACACGCCATTGCATGACAAAGGTCCTGGCCACGGTGGAGAACCACATTCGCCAAATCCCTGAATCATGCCCGCTCCCCCACCGAGGCAATCACATTGGAAACGAAACCACGGTGGAGAACCACAAACATTCGGACGTGATCTAAAATGTTAGTTGAGCCAACCGTCAAGGGGCGGCCAGTTCGGTCCGTCCAAAGCATGAAAGAGAGCGGCCATGGCAAAGAGTTGTTCCTTGCGCCACATGCACGGGCACAATGTTGTTGGTCGTCACATTGTATTGGGATGATACTCCAGCCTCAGCAGTGAAATGGATTGGGAAGAGGGGAAATTGTCGAGACTGACCAGGGTTTCGTTGGGGAGGATTTCCCGGATGTCATCCCGTAGGTGCCGAAGGAGGTGCCGAAGGGGGCATGGATGGAACAGATACCGGTACGATACATACTGGAGCTACCGTACATACCGGTAGCATGTAGTAGTCTTTTCTACCATAGCTAATAGCCTGGCCCCGGCTGGCTTCCGTAGATAATTTCCCTACTCTAAACCCCCATAGCTAGAGTAGCTAGCTCTAGCTAGCCAGCTACATGTATGATAGTAGTTGGCTCCGAGGATTGATGATTGAATCGAATCATTCGATTCAAGAAAATTCGAATAACGAGGAAGAAACTTGCACGTAAAAAGCAAATCGAGAGTTGGTGACATGTTTAAAGGGATCGAGTTAGAGTTGGGCCATCGCGGCGTCGCAGCAGATTGCAAGAATAAAATGAGATCGATTATCGGCCTCTCCAGAAATTATATATATTTGCTGAAACAGTTTTGTTGCCACCATGGCAACTCCACAGCCAATGCAAGATGATTCACTGATCAGGGCTCTGGAAAATGAGCAGCAGTATGAGAATACCGCTTCGGACGAAGGACGTCCACCGGTACCCACAGAAGTTTCCCACAGACATCGGCAGCCCGGCGGAGATACAGAGACTTGTGTTTCTTCAGTAACGGATGTGCTGCAGGATGCCGATCTGTTTGTAGATCACATGTACCCAACTCTGAATGCGGTTGTAGAAGAAGAGGATTCAAATTCCAATTTGGCGCTCAAGTCATTAAACAACAACGACAACCGTTCTCCTACCATATCGACTACTACTACAGAGGAGACACAAAGGCACCAGACCTCTCGTAAACAATACCAGCAGCACGAGTCATCTGGAGACACATCCCTAAACCAATCAGCGGTCAAGGAAGAGTTACAAAGCAATGAGGCAGCTGTGCTCAAGGCTGCCAAGATGGATAAGCGTGATCAGGCTTCTCCAGCTGTCACTATTGCTGTCGGCAGTAGGAAGTCACCGGCCGTACCAGCAGACAAATCTGACCAGCAACAGGACGATCAGAAGGATCTTCCATCCATACAGGGCAAACCAGAAGCTAGTATGCAATCCAAAGAACCCAAGACCAGGAGCATCGATCCGACAATTGCTGCCATTGATCTCACCGAACCAAATTTATCGGAAGACAGAAACCCCATAGGTGCCAAAAATATTAAAGGATCATTCCAAGAGGCTGCACAAGCTGAAATTCAGCCACTCCCACAACAGCCAGCCCTCTACCGTCAACAGCCAGTATCAATACCAGGAGCCTACAGCCTTGGTGGCTGTCCTACTGCCGCTGACACTGCTGATGACACCGATATTGTCCCAGTTCCTCCGGTTACTGCCACAACAACATCTGCTCCAACGAGCAATGTTGAAGACCTTGATGACGATCATTTGGTCCGTGCCAATCCAGTACAAGAAGATCTGGAGGCTCGTGCTGATCTGATGCATGCCAACCCGGTCAATCTCGAGGAACAGGAACGACAACAGCAAAAGCGCAAGAAGCAAACGCAAACATTCATCTTCATTATGACACTAGCGATTCTGGCTGGATCGGCCATTGTGGGCACGGTTGCTGGCACACACAAAAAGAAGCCAGATGAATCCATTCGTGCTGCAACTCCTGCACACACTGTATTCCCTTCCATGGAACCGTCAGAAGTGCCATCCTCGGCTCCCACTGGAGTTTTGGATTTGTTGTTCCACAATCTACCTAGCAACACTTTGGCCAGTATCAACAATGGCAGTGACACACCTCAGTGGAAGGCATGGCAATGGCTAGTCAATCATCAAAATATTACCTTCTTGCCAGAATGGAAAAAGCAGCAACTGTTTGCTCTAGCTACATTCTACTATGCCTTTGATGGAGACAGTTGGCATCCTCTGATAAAAGAACGATGGATGGATGACACCTTGGATGAGTGTTTGTGGTACTCTGGTGGATTTGGAGTTTTTGATCTGGGGCCCGATGGAATATTCAATACAGGTGATGAAGATGGCCAGTTTTATGAGGTACCTGATATCTTCAAGAGGTACTCTTGTGACAGTCTTGGGCGTTTCACAAGCCTTTACCTGACGCAACTTGGCCTCAAAGGGGGTCAGCCTGTTTTGCCGAAAGAACTATCTCTCCTTACATCCTTGTCAGAGATCATGTTCATTGCGGCCGGGTTCAAGTCTCCCCTCGCTAAATTGTTTCCACCAGAGCTGCCACAAGGACTAAACTTGCGTGCATTGTGGCTTGGGCATGCTGTATCTGGTTCCATCCCCACTGACTTTGGTGTCCTCTTCTCAGATTTGAAGGATTTGCGGTTGTACTCTAATTCACTGACAGGCCGTTTGCCAACCGAGTTTGGGTTGCTGACTGGACTGGAAGGTGAAGTAAATTTGAACCGGAATAATCTCTCTGGGACAATCCCAACGGAACTGGCAAGCTTGACCAATGTGGACAGCTGGTGGATCCCAAGAAACTCTTGGGTTGGGGCACTGCCAAGTCACTTTGGCTTACTGACCTCTACAAACTACCTCAATGTGGAAGAGAGCTTGCTATCTGGTTGGATTCCAACAGAACTGGGATTGTTGACTTCCCTCAAGCGGCTGATGCTGGACGACAACATATTGTCTGGCTTGGTTCCCACTGAGCTTGGTTTGCTCACAGGTCTGACAGAGTTACTCCTTGGTGGCAACGTGTTGTCTGGGCGGATCCCAAGTGAGCTTGGGTTATTGAGCAATCTTGAAATGCTGAATCTATTCAATCTTCCTCTGTTGACTGGTACTCTTCCTTCAGAGCTCTCAATGTTGACAAAGTTGGGCACTTTTGAGCTAGAGGGAAGCACTGGATTATCTGGCACCCTTCCAGAGGATGTTTGCTATTTGCAGAATGACTCTTGCATCTTTCTTTACGGTGGAGTTGTAAACAAGAGCTGCTCTCTCACTTTTAATTGTACACGCACAATTTGTGGGTGTGACTGCCCTTGCATGGTTTGAGAAACTGGACGCTGAGGATATTCCTTGCGAAGTGCCGTTTAGTTGCCTGAGCCTGGCCCTCGCTTGCTTACGTAGATAACTAAGTCAGCGGAAGCTGCGATACCTCGGCAGAAAGCAGATAGAAGAAGGATGACATGTTTGAGATTGCAGTCTTCTTTCAAGCTAGCCCTGACGACAACACCCGACTTCGTCGTGTGTTGCCGCCCAGTGCAGTCGTATCATTCCCTCATTGCAACCTTCTTTTTTATTCTAGCTAGCCCTGGTTTTTATTCTAGCTAGCCCTGGCGACAACACCCGACTTCGTCGTGTGTTGCCGCCCACTAACCATAATTTTACAGCTGTCATTCCCTTATGGAACTGTAACTTTTGTAGCTTGTGCTGGCTTATTGTGTTGAGTGCCCTTAAATTTGTAGAACCTTCAATTAATTTTCAGTTCGGTTGGCTTATGACTATCTCTATCCCTATATTTTGGCTTCACCGGAATAGGAAATAGTAATAAAGGGGTTGAGAACTCAGGCAGTTAACCTGCCGAGGTATATGTGTGTTGTTTTTGCCGTGGTTTCCACTAAGTCCTCATGTGTCACGTGTCTGATCTAAGCTGAATTTCCATATGGGTGTCTGCTAGCTATACTGCATGACATGAAGCTATGCATGCCCTTCAAGACAGTGAGACCGGTACCGGCTTAGATTGTTTGCTCCAACCTCCCATCCTGGAGACGGCTATAACGATTTCCTGTTGGCTTTGATTAATCCACAACCCAGTACCTGCACCCTTGGCATCATAGGACTTTTGATTCCTCATTCTGAGACGCCGCTGCTGGCCGCGGTGCCCAAGATCTGAAATGAGCTATCCTCGCCCGCCCAGCTATTGGATTGCAAGATCTGGGAAGCAGGAGATTTAGTAGCTGCCTCTTATAGTCCTATTGAGAGCACTCCGACGGGATGCCTTCAGATCAGTTAGACTACTCAAATGATCTGGCTGTCTGCTAGTATACCTATTGCAGTTCAAAGCAAACGTTTGTACCACGGGAACACAGTCAGCGAATACCTCGTAAACTAAGCAGTCATAGCGCTTTCTTGCATACACGGTGGTTCACACAGCGCGAAAGAGCCGTCGCCTGAGGAAGGAAAAGGGAATGCGGCTGAGCCGGATAAAGAAGACGTTTTTTCTTGCGTTGGTGCCTCGAACTCGAATCGTCAGACTTTACGATGGATGAGTCCATCCTTCCACCAGCGCCCAATCTTGTGGTGGGGAAGTGGCTTGGGCCCTGAGCCAAGTCAACGTGCAGAAGATTAGAAGGCTTGGCGTAGTGGGCTACATCCATCCGAGATCAGAAGACAGGACGAACCAGCCAGCTTGCGTGCGTGGTGGCCAGGGCCCTGACGGATTCCTCGTGGCTGGGATAGCCTCGGCGATAGTTGCCATTCCGCCCCACTAATCGATACATGTATGTGCAGGCTGTCATTCCTGCTTCAACCGGACAATTTCAAAAGTCGGAGATCCAACGATCGACCCCATTGCGCGTGTCTCGGTATGCCGTTGCTTGGTTTGGATCTACCGAAAAGCGGAGGCAATGCAAGGTACGGGAATCGATCTGCGCCTCGTCGGTCAGGTGCATCAGACCGGTTTGGCGCGCTGTGGCTTCTGAAATTTCTCCCCGTGACGCTCAAAATACGGTAGCATGAGCGGCGTGCCTCAGAGAAGCCACTTCATTTCGACTCGACGCTTGCTTGGCTCTCCTGGACAGACTCTACACGTAGCTGCAGCCTTCTGTTGAAGCACAAAAGAATAGCATGACAGCAATGTATCCTCCCCGAAGCTTCCGAAGGCAACGCTAGCACACAACATATAAGCCATCTCCACGAAACCAACGAATCTCAGTTGAGGGAGAGTCCGCGCGAACTGCGAAAATTCTTCCTCCATGAAAAAGAGGGTTCGGAGCAGGAGGTTATCATCTACGGAAGCCCTGGAGCCAGGGTGAGGGCCAGGGCTAGCTACGTAGATACAGTGCATGACGATGGGATATCACAACAGTCATCTCGCTGTCTTGACGGCGACCGATCGTGGAATCGAGCATCACGAGGCCACAGAAACTGCCTTCCAGTATATGGCAGTGCTCTGCATAGTGCCACGAATGGTTTCCGTTACGTGTATATACTTGCTTCACCCATTTGTTGCCGATGTCATGTTCGAACGGCATACAAAGTTGGATTGTGCATGATGTCGGCATATTCTAGCTATCGTTTCAATGCCCTTAATGAATCGAATCTCGTCATCTCAATGCAGGTCTTGACGAAGACGTGCTCCTGCCTCATGGAATACAGTCAGGTGCTGCAAAATTAATGAGTGCTGGGAGGAATGAACCGATTATGGAGTTCTAATTACTGGTTTCTGTTGTCTTGGAGGCTTGGGACCAAAGAAACATAGGCACAGCCTGGCATGCATGCATGGTGCCATCACCATCGTTTGTGGCGTAGAGAGGGCGCTGCATGAGGTACGAACTCGTCGTTTTGACATCACTGAAAAATAACAAGGATTATAGGAAATTGAGGAATAACGAAGGCAAACCACATGGCCACCCATGCAGCTTACCGCTCACACAGAAGCATGAAGCATTGTTGGATCGAGGAATGCGTGGCGGTCCCTGTGCTGAACAACTAGTGGCAAATAATCGATGCAGCTGGTGGCCCTTTTCTGCCAAGAATGCTAGCATGCTTTTGAAGCACCTGCTCAGCCTTGGCATCTGCCCCCCAAATGCGATAAAGCTTCACTGCCTCTTCCAGCAATGCCTTTGAATCTGATGGAGAATCGCGCTGAAGAAGCATCTCTCCACAGCGCTCTGCAGCTAGAGCCGCCTCCTGGACAAGTCCACTTCGAGAAGAGATCACTTTCGCTGAATGATAGAGGGAGCAAGCTGCTTCAAATTTCCCCTTGAGGACAGCTTCTTCTGCATCCAGCATCTTCTCATAGCCAATGACATTTGGATTGCCAGCTTTTCTCCATTTTTTGATTGTTGTGTGGACCTTCCTTGCATGTCGCTTGTACTTTCCATGCCTTGTCTTGATGGCCATGGCATAGAGTGAAACTCCACGAGCAAAGGTTTCGGGCATGGCAATGTGCAAAGCTGGGTTTTTCTTTTCAAAATCATCACCTCTTTCAATGGCAAGTTCTGCTCCTGCTTCATGATCTCCAAAGATGGCATGAAGTCGGCTATGCAGTGCTGCGACTGAAAGCTCAAATGCCTCCATATCTTTGTGTCTCTCAGCCAGATCATCCAATGACATTGTGGCTTCTGTGTCGCCCAAAAGCGGATCTGTTTGCTCTTCGCAGCCAATCAGTTTCACAAAGGCCAGCCAGTATGGTGACAAATACCGGGCTATGTGGGGGCGAAGTTGGGGTGCATAGATCCGACAGTCACTTTCAAGCTGGTTCAAAGGCCTCCCAGCTTGAAAGCCACTGGTGATGTAGGCAAAAACATTGAATGAACTGAACTCTGTGTCACCGTAGACAAGTCCACACTCATAGCCTCTCATGTACTGAGGTTGACAGGAGCTGAGCGGATCCAGCCAGCACCTCAAGAACTGATACACTGTAAAGATTGTGTATGAGGCTGTACTGCCAAAGTTCCTTTGCTCTAGCAAGTTCATGGCAAGATATCCCATTTTGCCACCAAGCTGATAGTCATGCATGACCCCTGCGAAGACAACCCCAAGTGTTGCCAAGTTGGGAGGAGCAAACATCGATACTCCATGCTTAAATGAAAGGCTTGCAGAGGTAAGAACGGCGAGGGGCATGATTATCCCATATTGTTCCGAAGCGTAGCAGTAGATGGCCAGATGGTGCAAGAGCTTCATTTTGAGAATGTCAGCATATTCCATTTCCGGAAGCTGCGCCAGATCAGTCACAGTGAGTTCTCTGCACTTTTTCTTGACCTTGAGCAGCAGGTTGATTGTAGAAAACATTCTCCCCGCAGTGGTCTTGGGAAACTTTATCCCTTGTTGTTCCAAGACTGCCATGGTTAGTTCAATGCCATCATTTCGGTCAGTTGTTGCGCACAACGATCTAATTTGGGAAACATAAATCTCCAACTTTGAGGCTAGTGGTATGTCATCCCTTGCGGCAACTTCTTGGTACCGAGCATCAACAGATTCCCGAAGTCCAGCCTTGTCTTCGGTTATAGCAGCAATTGTGTAGAGTTCCAAAGTCAGATCCACATGGGTCTCCCACTTCTCTACTGGAAGCAGGTCAATTCCTCTGGTTGCATACTGGGCGGCTGTTGAAAATGCAGAGACATGTGTTGCTTTTTGTGCTGCCTCTAAATTGATCCTGGCAAACACAATTCGCTCTGCCTTATCTGTGGTAGCCGGGCCATCGTGAAGGAGGTTTGCCATCATGAAAGTGACAGATTCCAATTCTTCCCCAGAGAGGCTCTTGTAGAGCTGCCGACCCAGTTGGCCCTTCAATTCGCTTAATGTATCCCGTGGTAGCAGGGCCAAGGCTCCCTCCCGGACTGAGTCATGGATCCATTGGTACGATTTTGCTTGGGCCCCTCGACTTATGACCTGCTGCTCCAAAAACCCACAGGATTCGGAGAAGGACAACCAGTTCTCTAGCGTAATTTTTTCTTCATCCCCATTATGGCCAGTGACCGTCTCAGCTGCTATCATGGAGGAATCCTCTTTCTCCTCCATTTTCTCCAACACAGCATTGAGGACAGACTCGTGGAATGAGTTCCCTAAGCAAGCCGCTATGCAGAGCCGTCGCTGGAGGATTGCAGGGAGTTTTGCCATTTCGTAAGTCATGAGCTCAACAACATTTTTCATGGCAAAGGTCTGTGAGAGAATCTGCTCAATATCCCAGGTCCAACAATTCTTGCCAAGATCAAAGTTGAGCATGTTTTCGTCAAAGAGCTGACGGAAGAAGCTGACCGCATACAAGGGATTGCCCAAAGTGCGTTTGTGGCACAACTCTGCCAGTGGTAGGGTGGGGTATGACTCGTTGTGATCATAGTTCAAAAGTTCCAGTAGTAATTCGTGGACATGGGAAACATTCAGATTTTCCATGGCAAGGTCGGTAGTCTGAAATCCATGCACCCTCTTCTTCTTCTCTACCTCACGAATCAGTTGGGAAAAAGGGTGCAAATCGTCCAGCTCATTGGATCGGTAGAGGCATACCACAGCCATGTCAGAATTGCTGATATCAGTGATCAATGTTTCTAGCAATTCAACCGATGCAGAGTCTGACCAATGCATGTCATCTAACACCACACAAAGAGGATGGATAGCAGCATTAACAATTTGGAAGAATGTCCGAAAGGCATGGGTGAATCGCGCCTTCTGCTGTTCATTTCCAAGGAGATGACCGGATTCTTGTTCGTGGATTGAATTGACACTGGATCCAATGCTGGAGACGTCATCAGAGTTGTCTGATGCAGACCTGTCATACAACATGTGGTTTAGTTCAGGGATTAAGGCCCCCAGAACCTTGCCTTCATTGATGTCTCCAAATTTTTCCTTGATTTCTGTTTTCACAGCTACAAATCGCTCCTTGTGCTTCTCACTCCCTGTTCTCCCCAGATAAATAACCTGGAGGATTTGTGAACACGCATGAGCAATGGCCCGGTATGGAACTCCTGTCTGATCTTCTGGGTTGAACTTTCCAGAAACAAAGGCACCTTCATCGTTCTTCAGTTTAATCCTCTTTTTTAGACAACCAGCCAAGGCTGTCTTTCCAGCTCCACTCTCTCCACTGATGAAAATGAGCTCTCGGGAACCATTGTACGCCCGGTCAAGCGCCTCAAAAAGCACCTGCTGCTCTTCTATTCTTCCAACCAAGCCCAGCATGTCAAACCGAAGTTTGCTCGACATAAAGGCATTGTATTTGCTTTGTCTGTCAATTGTCCTTGAATTTCTCAAGGGAGCAGCCTTCACAATGGAAGAGTCCACTGCTACATCCGCGCTTCCATTCACCGGGATAAATGATCGTCGTACAGAAGCCGTCCGTTTCGGTTCCGATGAGTTGGATGACCTGAGGAGACTCGAGGAGGCGGTCATGCCTACTCCAGTAGTAGCATCCAATATGGAAGACTGAGAACCCAGGTTTTTGGAACCAGACAAAATGGATCGGTTAGAGGTTCTCTCACTGCTCGTGATGGTGGAGGGCAATCTCGCTTTCGGACCCAAAGACCGGTCCAATGATGGTTGTGTGCCGATGTCCTCCCGAGTGCTCTTTGTGACACCCCTGGAAGACCCACCTGATCTCTTCAAGAACTTCATCTTCGCCAGCTTGGTACCATGAACAGAAAGATGTAATATCAAGATGTAATATCAAAGGTAAGCAACCATATACAGAGCACTGTTCACTGTTGCCCGAATGATGTGGTGTTGATGCATCCATGGTGATATCGAACCGGCCGTCATGCGGTTGGCTCAATTATTGTCGCTGCACCGCCGCTGCAGCTGTTGTCGATTGTTGCTTCTTTAATTATAGGCTGTCCCATTTTTGCATTTTACTAAATCCTTGTCGTCTTATAAGACTTATTCATACAACCTCTACCTATGTATGTGCTTCCCAGGAACTGATGGGCTTACAACCGGCTGGTACGTGCTGAATGCTGAATGACCAAACTCTTTGGGAAGCTGATCTAATCTAATCTGATCAGATCAATTAAGATCAGATCAGACCTGGGCACGACCATGGCGCTTTCTATCTAGCTAGTAGCTAAGATTGGGTTCTACCTGTTGAGGGTGAAATAGAATACTAAGCAGATACGCCACATGTAAGGAGCGAGCGGGGGGCAGATCAGCGGCTTCGGTGGTGGGTTGGACTGCGAGAGGGATCGCGAGACTACCACATGAATAAGCAAGGCTTGGCAGAACAAGGGTCCGAGCAAAAAAAGTCCCACATTAAATTTTCAGAAAAACCGAATCCACGCCGTGGAAGATCCCCCCGACCACAACAAGGGAAGCAAGTTGGATTGTCCTTGACAATTGAGATGCTCTCTCAGACTTCAAGTATAGATCACCAAAGTCGCTCTTTAGAAGATAGCCAAGTAAGTCCTCTCCCACAATGCCAATCCACTCCAGCCAGGGAAATTGGGAGCAGGATCCATGAAATGAAGGGCTGGGTGTTGGGACAAGACCTGCCTCCCGTCATTTGACGCACGAGTTTAAAATAAAATAAAAGGGGAGCAAGTACGACTGTACGGTACCGAATGGTGAGCCCCTCAGGAGGAGATCAGAGCACCAGACAGACTACTAGCTAGCTAGTACGGTACTAGTAGCCTATCGTCGAATGTCGAAGGCAGATCACCTACATGTACTCTACCGGTAACGAATAGCGGCACCATACATGAACTGGCACTTCATGGCCTTTCTATTGAATCGCAAGAGGATTTAGAGGTACCGGTATGCATGTCCGTTTTATTTACGTTTTAGCTCGTTTTGGGGGGCTTCTCCATCCACACAGTGACCACTGTACCTGGTACCAGGTATTAACAACCAAAACAGTTACTATGCCTCTAGGACATACTAGCTAGCTAGAACCTCTGGAGTACTCAGTACTCTTAGGGGTGCCTCAAATCAACTCAGAATGATGGATATTTCCCTCAACCACCAGATCCATAGTTTGAAGCCATCGCCAAAACAAGAGAACAGGTGGTTAAGAGTGGTTGAGGGCGGTCGAGGTCGGTACAGCGCGGTCTAAGGTGGTAAAAAGGCGGCAATAAGGTGGTAAAACGAGCGGTAAAGGTCGGTATAGCGCGGTTGGAGGTGGTTCAAGGTGGTCAAAGTTGGAGACGGTCAAGGTGGACAATGCGTGAAGGTGGGGTAAGATAGAATCAAATACTGTGGGTTGGTTTGAGGCACCCCCCAGTAGACGCATAAGGTAGTAGAAAACTCTTATCACAGCCCTTCTATTACACGAAGACTTCGACAAATAATAAGATTTATGGATACATTAATGGTCAAAAGGAGGAGCGTTGCGAACTGCCATCAGGAGTCATCAGGACTGCTCAGGAAGTGTTGCCAATAAATAATTAGTCCTCCCACTGACCCGATGAGCCGACGAGCTCCCGACGTGGGTTTTACAGGGTTGGCCACCTCACCATTCATCGTTTCATCGTTTCACCTAGGATTTTTTTTTTAATCATCAGCACACACAACTTGCACCCAAGGCAGCTTATTGCAGCAAAGACCACTACTAGTACAGTGCAGTACAAACAAACACAGATCGAGCTAGCTACAATGTCAGAGCCAACAGCAAATAATGGCGCATCATCATCCGATTCGCAGCAGCAGCCCAATGATGCTGCTGCCATGATGATTGGGGCGGCGACCTTAATAAGAGACCAAGGGCAAATTCCGTCCACAGTGATCAATCATCATCACCATCATGAAGGAGGAGAAGACGATCAGGAGACTTGTGTGTCCTCCATTACCCTTCCGGTACCCAAAGACTCCATGTATCCCACCGTACAGGATGTTATTGCAGAACAGCAACACGAGCAGGACGAGCCACTGATCCATTGGGAGACACCACCGTTGAATACTACATGTAATGCTCCAAGCACAGTGGAACAGCAGGGAGGTGTGGCCAGTCATAACAACTGTCATACTGGTACCAGCAATAATGTACCAATGGCAGAAAGAGACGATGAGACACATCATCAATCCGTCGTGGAAGACAACGACGACGAAAACAACCAAGATCAGACCCTAACGGAAATTCTCACAAAACGAGACAAATTGGAGGCGGTGCAGCACTCCTATTATCAGGCCGAGGATGACTTTTCTCGGAAAATGGAGGCGGCACTGCTACTGACGACGAGTGGTGCTTATGATACTAGTAGTGGACATCCAGACAGCTGTGACAACGAAGGAGTCAATACTACTGAAGCTGCCGACTTGGCAGCACGTACGGCTGCTTTTAATCACCTGGACAGAAAGTTGGCTGCGGGGAAAGGATCTGACAATATCATATTAGTCAGTGAAGAAGAAATACCACAAGAAAAGCTTCCGGATCTGGTAGAACCGGTGGAAGAGTTGGTGGTGGTGGAAGACGGTAGTTTGTTGACTACTGCCAAGAAGAAGAGAGATATTGCTGCCGGTTCTGATCCCATGGTGGTGGACCTGAAGAATAGGAATGCTGCGGGAAGAGATGCCACAAGTGAAGAAGACGTACTACAAGGGACGGAAGAACCAGCAGTTCCAGAGACACAATTGCATGCAAACCAGACACTGCCACAGCCAGGGCCAGGAGCCTATGGCATTGATGGCCCCGGTCCCGGCAGAGGCCCCGCTATCCGCAGTGGCAATACTACCATTCACAATAATGAGGGTGACACTGGAATCATTGCCGCCACAACTGATACTACGACGGTACCAAGACCAACAACTAATAGCAGCAGTAATAATGGTGGCTTGGTCCGGGCCAATCCAGTACAAGAAGATCTGGAGGCTCATGCTGCCACAGGAGACTTGATGCATGCCAACCCGGTCAATCTCGAGGAACAGGAACGACAACAGCAAAAGCGCAAGAAGCAAACGCAAACATTCATCTTCATTATGATACTGGTGATTCTGGCTGGAGGGGCCATTGTGGGAACGGTTGCTGGTACACACAAAAAGAAGCCAGATGAAACCATTCGTGCTGCAACTCCTACACCCACTGTTTACCTTTCCATGGAACCATCGGATGTGCCATCCTCGGCTCCCACTGGAGCTCTGGACATGCTATTGGAGAGTCTACCGAACTACACAATGCAAAGCCTACAAGTGTATGGTACACCACAATGGAAAGCTTTGGACTGGCTGGCCAATCATCAAAACATTACCAAGTTGCCAGAATGGAAAAAGCAGCAACTGTTTGCTCTAGCTACATTCTACTATGCCTTTGATGGAGACAGTTGGCATCCTCTGATAAAAGAGCGCTGGATGGATGACACGTTAGATGAGTGTTTGTGGTACTCTGGAGGATTTGGATTCTTTAAATTCGAGACTGGCGAGTTTTATGAGATACCTGAGATCTTCAAGAAGTACTCTTGTGACAGTCTTGGGCGTTTCACAGACCTGAACCTGCCACAACTCGGCATCAAAGGGGGTCAGCCTGTTTTGCCAGAAGAATTATCTCTCCTTACATCCTTGTCAGAGATCCTGTTCGTTGCGGCTGGGTTCAAGACTCCCCTGGAAAAATTCTTTCCGCCAAAGCTGCCACAAGCACTAAGCTTGCGGGCATTGAGTCTTGGGGGTGATGTGACCGGTTCCATCCCCGGTGAGTTTGGTGTCACCGGTTCCATCCCCAGTGAGTTTGCTGTCCTCTTCTCTGATTTGAAGGGGCTGCGGTTGTACCATAATTCACTGACAGGCACTTTGCCGACCGAGTTTGGGTTGATGACTGGACTGACAGGTGAATTAAATTTGAACCAGAATAATCTCTCTGGGACAATCCCAACGGAACTGGCAAGATTGACAAATGTCAGAGGCTGGTTGCTCCCAAGCAACTCTTGGGTTGGGGGACTGCCGACTCAATTTGGTTTAGTGACCACTACGAAGCACCTTAATGTGCAAGAGAGCTTGCTATCTGGTTTGATTCCAACAGAACTGGGATTGTTGACTTCCTTCAGGGAGATGTATCTGTGGGGCAACATGTTTTCTGGCTGGGTTCCCACTGAGCTGGGTTTGCTCACAGGCCTTAAACTCTTGTTCCTTGGAGACAACTTGTTGTCTGGGCGGATCCCAAGCGAGCTTGGGTTATTGAGCAATCTTGAAAGGCTGCATCTATTCAATCTACCTCTGTTGACTGGTAGCCTTCCTTCAGAGCTGTCAATGTTGACAAAGTTGGGCTGGTTGGAGCTAGAGGGAAGCACTGGATTATCTGGCACCCTTCCAGAGGATGTTTGCTATTTGCAGAATGACTCTTGCATCTTTCTTTCCGGTGGAGTTGTAAACAGGAGCTGCTATTTCAATTTCAGTTGTACAGGCACACTTTGTGGATGTGACTGCCCTTGCCTCTAGCTACTAGGGTTGGAGAAACAGTAAGCTTCTAAAGGATGTTCCTTGCAAAGTGCCATTTCTACTAGCCAAAGTTGATTTTTGCAGTGATTTCCACAAAGCCCGCATGTGCCAAGTGTCTGATGGGTGTCTGCTTGCTGCTAGCTGCTTGATGGCATGACCTCACACTCAAGCAATTTTGTACTGTGGAGACCGATACCGTACGGTTAGATCGTTTGCTTCAGCCTCCCCTACGATCCTGGAGATGGCCATGTCTAATAACTATCTGCAACTCGGTACCTACCTGAACAATGGTCATGCTGATTACGTTCTGAAACGCAGCTGCTGGGCGCGGCGCCCAACATGTGATTGAGCTACCGTATGCATCCTCACCCGCCCAGCTAGCTAGACTTTATGGCACGGTACCGGGAGATAGTCGTATTGCTAGCTACAGTCTGGTTAGCCCTACCGTATGGTATGCAGAGCAATCAGACAGAATCATGGCCTACGGATCAGTCAGACTTCACACATCTATTGCCTTGCAGTCGTCTATACCAGCCATTATTATACAAGAGCAGAACCACCGACAACCTATTATAATTATTAGCTAGCTAGCTAGAAGTAAGCTAGCAACCACATGACATTGACCACCCATTGACGGGCTACTACCAGTAGGTATTACCTTGGGGACTGCACATCATGGAGACTCGGATCGAGGAAGGAGGGATGAGATGAATCGAATCAGTACAAAGATTCGACGGATGAGTGTTTCTCGATTGCATGCATGCATGAGCATGCAGCCAGGGAAAAAGGTTTCACACTCCATCTTTTGAAATTTCCACTCCCATTACGTCTTGCTCCCGTTGGTCCTCCTCGGGGTGGTGATGATGATGAATCGACCCGTGACCTTCCTCCTCGTCACTTGGCGGTGAATCACTGTGTTCCTCTTCCCGGCCGCTACTACAAGATTCCACGCCATTGGTGTATTCCTCCTGGTCGTCACTGCTGTTATTATTGCCTGCACCACTGCGTTTGGATTCCCACTCGACTTCGACTCCCTCTTCTTCCTCCATTATTTGCTGTTGCTGCAATGCCAATTGTTGCAATTCATACGGCCGTCCTCCCGTGACTTGCCATTTTCCACACGACAAGACGCCCGAAAAGAGAATGGTCCCGGCAATGGGATAGTAAATGAGATAGGAAAGTACGAGTTCGACAAAATAACTGACGACGAATTTGTAATCGGCAAAGTCTTGTGGACTGTAGTAGACATCTTGGAGTTGGGATTGGACAACCGTATGCGATTCGAAAATGTTGGGACCCTCCTCGTCCATAGTTGATGATGATTGCTGTTGGAAGATTAGGGTCGTTGTAGTACCGTTGGTAGTCGTCGTGTTGGTGGCATTTTGAAAAAAGCTAAAAATCTGTGTCTCTTCTTCCTCATCGGCTTCAATGGCAGCTCGTAGTAGAACCGCAAACGAGGCAATGGCCGTAACGAGAATGACCGAAAGCACGACGAACACGGCTCCCGTATTGCGACCGCATTGGAGACGCTGATCGCGTTGTTTGACACTGAGTCGAGGATTATCGGGCAGTTTGCAAAAGGCACACGCCGCCAATGACCAAATGGTATTGTCGTACAATCCATGCAAGAGTGCTCCGACCGTCCACAAGACGAGATTCCCCGTCGTGACACTGACGGACGAAATGGTCTGATCCAATTCACTCGACAACCCCGTTTTGGTGAGATTGGTTTCAAATTCGTAAAAGGACGCATCAAACGCATCATCTTGTTCGGTAAAGACAAATGCCAAGTAAATGATATTGGTCAATGCCAATCCAAACAACATACTCCCAATCAGACTGATAGCACGAATCTTGCCACTGAGGGGATGATACGGATGATGAAAACAAATGCCAAAGAGGGGATGATTGTTCGTCATGTACTGCCACCAGTCTTGGAGCCAGTAGGTATTGCCCGGTAAGTGATATGCGTGATTCAGTAGATACGGTTCTAGTTCTTGGCGGCGGCGAATCTCTTCTTCTTCTTCCTCATCATCATCATCATCTTCGTAGTCGTAGTCTTCCTCTGGATCCATCACCATTGTGTCTCTGGTGGATTTCTTCATCAAGCCGGGCATTCCATCGTCCGATTCTTCCTCGTCCTTCAGATCGTCGTCTTCGCTCCGTTCCATGGATCGAACGGATGATAGTGGGGGTTCTCCTTCGTCATCTGGTGTTGTCATGGTGTAGCTAGCTAGTGATAGATTGTGAGACTATCTGGCTAGATCTATTGCTTGGTGATCAAGAGGAGGTCCTGAAGTCTTTTTGTGCCAGTCGGGGAATTATGATTGTGAGCTTGAGCTACACTCTATACTAGTAGCAAGCACTCGATCTTTCATCGGATCGATACAGCAGCATCCCATTTCATCGGTCCTCTTTCGTCTCCAAACTTACAAAAGGATCCAGTGACGCTTTTAATTCAAAATTATGACCATGTGGAAACGTTATCATTGCCAAACTTTCTCGTAAGTAGAAGCATCCTCAAATTTGGTCACTTACAGAGTACGAATGAGTTTGCCCATGGTAATTAAATCACTATTAACGATACTAAAGTGTTCCGGTGAGCCGTGGATACACCGTACATGTATTGCATAACCGAGGTATGCATACCGGTAGCTAGCTGGGTTGTTGGTGGCAGGTACCATACCGGAATGGTTCTTGAATCTATCAGTTGCAGGACCAACGCAGATGCCTTGTGCTTAGTGGTTCCGTACCGTCTATCCTCTCTAGAGAAGTTAGTTATAATCTAGCTAGATAGTCTACATGTAGCTCTGCAAACAAACCCGTACCTACTAGCTAGCTAGCTAGCTAGACTTGATGCTGATGTTTCGAGGGACAGTTGGAACGATGGATGGGCCAGCCATCTTGTTAGGAGCTTTCTAAAAGAAGAACTTTTTTGCAAGCGCGTCGCTGCCTAGCTAGCTGCCTGCCTGTCTCACAAGCAACAAGCAATAATTCCTTTCTGGCCGGCCGAGACGAGAAATCTTTCGGTAGGAGAACGTGGTTTACCGGTACCGTAGTCTGCCGTGGCCCTCGGGATGGATGAGTGGCGTCGCGTTAGCCATTGATTATTGCAAGAAGACTTGCCTTTGCTTCCCGAGGAGGATTGTTTCGAATCGACTCATCTCATCTCTCAAGGCAGCCAAGCCCGACAAATTTGTTTCTCGAGCAAAAGCATTCCCACAGGTACAGCCATTAGTTCAATAATTTTGCTGCACCACTCCGTCGATGCATCGCATGAGTCGGGTCATCGCTGGACTGTTTCTTCTCACGGGGATGAGCAAACTTGCCCATGGCTCTGTGTTGAATTTGTTAGAGCGTTTTTTTTTAAATTGTGTTCTCTAAGCCAATCTTTTACTTTGGCTGTTTTTCTCTATTGGATTTGATTGGATTGCATTGGATTAGATTGGATTGCATTGAATTATAGTTTACTATATAAATAACAGTAATATTTGGAATCCAATTCAATCCAATTCAATGCAATCCAATCAAATGCAATCCAATTAAATTTATCTTCTGGCAAAAATACGAATTTCGTCTTTTTAACTGATTTTGGCGAGTCTCACTCCATTACATGTACAATACAGGGCTATTGCAAGATTTGCCCATCCCCCACCTAGCTAGCTACGATCGAGAGCGATCTTACAGCTGGCTAGCTGGCAGACAGACAGACAGTCTGGTCTTACCTCGCTATACCGGTAGCTAGCTAGTATAGATGATAGTAGCTAGCCGGGTAGTAGATACGCAGCATAGAATCATGCCAGCCGACTCACGATGGCCCAATTTCTTTGCTGTTTCTTAACGTCATCGCTGTATGTATTAGCTAATAGTCTGCTGGACAGGGAATCAGCCAGGGGTCGGAGCAACCCACACATGCATGATGATCACTGCCATCAAGCAATGCATGGTTGCGCCCTTGATCATCGTGGCAACTGCCTCCTTTACAAAGGCGGCCGAGGAGCGACGCACCACGAGTATGCAAATCGGATCATGCATTCGCTCCAATGTCATTTGCTTTGCATGCAATAGTACTGTTGCTTGCCACTCATGCATGATCACTGCCATCATCAAGCAATGGTTGCCCTTGATGACAAGCAACTCGCCTCTCCAAACGCGACGGACACACCACGAGCGAGAAAGCTTGATCTAATCGGATCGTTCCAGGGTCATGTTGCTTGCATACGGTACGGTTGCTAACAAACAACCATCTACTTTTATAAAAGTTGCTTCGTTATCAGCCTTATCATCACCATCCCTCGGCTTGCTTCACATGCATGTATATATTGTTCCAACAGTGCTCCAATTCAATTCCACTACCGGTAGCTACCGTATGGCTGATAGCTCACCATCCAGTGTCTGCTTTGCTTCGCGTGTAAATACGGCACCATGTTATGCACACTCGAGTAAGTCAACAACTCAACTCCAATTGTATGCACTGCCTTGATCTTTCTCTCTCTCTCCACTTGTACTACTAGTAATGTTCTGCTTGCTTCGCTTACTACTTCAACAACAGGTACCATGTAAAGAATTTGCCAGCCTCATTCATCAACAAAAAGGGAAAGGTAATGGTCAAGACGGCAACAAGACGCAACATTTTGGCTTTTGGGTGCTTTAGCTAGTACGGTATGTGGACGGAGTAGCTGTTGCTTCCTTCCTTGCTTGTTTTGCTGTTGATTTTGGATCTTCCGAGATTGTGGTCTATCTATGGTCCAACCGATCATCTGCCTGCCAGGGTCCTTGGGTGCACGGTGCGGTGTCAGCCAATATTTTGAGGGCTGCCAGTAGACTACATGTATTTGAGTGCGTTGGCGGTGTAACAAGGTCACACAACCGCAAATTGGAAGTTTTGGTAAGAGTACCTTCGTCCTTGATTTACGGCTACTTGCTCGCCTGCTGCTTCTCTCATCTATAACGCACCATGTGGCTGGAAGATAGCTTGTGTGCTAGCTAGCTCACCGGTTCCAATCTGGGTCGTTGGGTGTTCATTATTTTAAAAAACGACTGACCATGCGAAAGAACCCAAGTTTCAGCTACTCAGAGCTCCACTCAGTATTTTGTTGGGTGCGAATTTTGAAAAGACATCATTGGTCGTTCTCCCCTCCTTTTTCGATACGTTATCCCAGAGTAATGATCGTATGAAAATCTTCTGGGATTGTGACCTCTAATCGGACCAGTTTGGGAGCTTACTACCTATTGCAAGCTACTAGCTAGAGTAGCTACTCCTGTGTAAAGTCAAGAGCGTGGATGTGGCAACAGCAGCAAACAGCCTGAAAGCGCGCGCCTGCGTGCGATGTGTGAATGAAGCAACCCGCAACAGCCCCAAACGCCCAACCCTTGGCCAACACTTTTGGGCAAGGGTCGTCTGGGTGAGGCACGATACAGGTTCGGAGTGACGATGATGGGCCGCGATACCGCATACCGTATGCCAGCTTATTAGCCCCCATAGCTCTATCCATGTATTTTTGTATTCTTACATAGCCAGAATAGTTTGCGTGCGTGCCAATAAAGCAAGTCAGTACCGGCACACTCGAACGTCAAAGCAACTCACTCCATCAATGGATGATCTATGATGACGGCACTCAACGACCCTGCTCATTGGCAGATGGTCGATTCGAATGTCACTGCCACTCGAAAGCATTCGTCATTTCACAAAACCCCAAATCAGGCAGCCCCCTACAAAAAGAAAACCAGAAAGAAAGGGCCAGCCATTGACGACGCGTAACGATGCTGTTGGCAGAGGTGGCTGCCGTAAACGATGCTGCGATAGAGTCCGACCTAGACGTTCGGTGCATGAAACAGGAGAACACGACTTGAACCTTCGATGTATTGATAAATGAGCCAGCTCGATCGTTCCCTAGCCAGCTAAAGTTCGTTCGGCTAACCGGCCATGGTCAACGTGGTCCGAATCGTACAGTACCAGAAAAGTTTGTTGCAGCCGAAAAGTAGAACCCCAGAGACCTTTCAACTCTCGGTAGTACGATGTACCTCAGGTGTGTATCGTAACGACAGACTACGACTTCTTGTCGTACGGTCTTGTTGTTCCGCCAGCCAAAGTGTCGGGTGACTACTGTGATGGTTACTTCGTATCCTGCCTCCAACCAGGATCTCTTGTTAGGCTAAGATCGTCCCGTCTCTCACAATTGAGTCAGTGTCACTCCAGCTGGGATGCAACTCCTGTCCCATCCTGGCTTGATCAGCGTAGCCCTACCGTACCGCACCGGTACGGTGGTTTGGCATCAATTCAGTTTTGGTTCCTTGATTATGACAATGTCTCACGCCTCCTACCTGCCTGCCTGCCTGCCTGCCTTACAAAACGCGCTTGAAGCAAAGACAATCTCTAAGCAACGTCAAAGGCAGCCTCACTCGTGGAAGGTTTTTGGTGAGGGAAGTGCTACGGTAGGTACCGGTATTGGTACATTGGTGATCGACGCCCATAATGACGTGCCGGTAACCATGAAGCGAATTGCTATTCCTCCGTACCGGTACCGTACCGGTACCTAGGGTGCTTGTCCATTGGCTTGTTTGTTGGTTTTTAATTCCTCCGTACCGTACGATGAACGCACAATCCGTCCCACTGGAAGCAACGGCAACCTGGAGTGTTACGACCAACCGTCAAGGCCTCGCAGCGCGAAGTATACGATAGGATAGGTCTAATTTGATCGTTTCATTGTTCTGTACTGTAGCTACTTTCTGTGGATTTCGCTCGATGAAAACGGAGGACCAACTCCGACTGTAACGAAGTCCAGGTCACCGTCCAATTTCCATGAGAGGCGACGGGGCTGCAGAATCGAATCACTAATCGTGTGGCCCGTATTTACCACTTTTGGTGTTCATCTTAGCCTAGACCCAAATCTGCTGGAGAGTGTAGCTAGCTACCGTACACGGAAATTCAAACAGTGGAAGAACATCTACGGAAGCTCACTCTGTGAATGCAAGTACCAGGTACCAAGCCCTATGGCTCAGGACGAGGCTAGATAGGTGGCGTACCGTATTGTACCCGCAGCACTTCGAGCATTGACGCCGAAGCAATACATGTCCACGAAACCGTGACTGGATCCATCGAGCACCGCTGAGCAAGTCCCGGTACCACCAACAGTAGATGCGGTAGACTCGCCCCCCAATACTGTAACCAGTTTCGCTTCTATGCAGCGCGATGCCGGGCTCATAGCGGGACTGGTGGTGTAGTGGCTGAAAGGAAACCTAGCTAGCTTCCTTCTATCGAAATCTCAGCCAAGACATATCTAAAAGGTGATCAAAAATACGAGCAGCCAGGAGACCAAGAATGACTTTCTGTTCGGCAATTCATGCAAGAAGTGCCCGTGCAGTTTTGGTCAAGCTCTTGTTTCGCGGCAGCAATCTGGATCGAAGGCATGGCTGAACCAGCTTCCAGAGACCGCCACGATGCATCCAACTCTTTTGGACAAAACAGGTACCAGATATACAAAAGGTATGGTACGGTATGCCCCTCAGTGGCAAAGCTATATTGAAACTCATCAACTGACTGAAGACAATCATGCTGCTGCCAACATTGATGATGTGGATATTAACAATAGAGTTCCTGTTCCTTGTGGCGTTGGCAACCTCCACTGTCGCTGGTAGTTCCGGCAGTGCTAGCAGTGGCAAAACAACGTTTCAAACTCAGTTGATATTCACACACCGACTGGACCTTTCTGCAGAAGTCTACGAGCAAGAGCTTCCATTCAACGCGGAAATGATGGAGGAGTGGATTCCAGCAGAAGATATCGCCCAACTGGAATCCCTCCTCTTGGATACCCTTAACCGACCACCACCACCACATGTAGAGACGACAGACGACTCAGAGCCGGCACAAATGACACAAATAACCTCCGTCCATGCGGAATCCCAGGGCTTCCTCCTCCTTAGAAAACTTCCACGAAACAGCAATAACAACAACAACCCTGAAGTCATACAGGTCGAGGTGGAAATTACCTACACCATTCATGGTCTCTGCCAAGGCCCTGGCTGTACTGCTGTGGAGGAAAAGCACGAAGCTCAAGATATTATCACTGGAGTTTTGCCATCAGGAAGGCGACTCCGAGGTCAGGGACAACAACCACAACAACTAAAAGAAGATGAACAACAAAAAGAAGAAGAAGAAGAGCCAATGACCAGAAGTGGATATCATCCGAGCCTGCAAGACGCGTTTCTACAGAGGGCACGGTCTCGAATACTCACGAAACAACCACACAGCCACCATGATACTGATAATTACTTCTCCGTCAAAACAAAGGGTTCCATATGGGAGGACCTCCTCGGAACAAGGCCAATTCAAAGTGCCATCCGCGAGCACACCCAGACCAACCCAAAGAGCAACCACCGCGATCTGCAGAATAGTGAAGCTTTGATTGACGTTGTCGAAGTTGTTTGTGACCCACTAGTGCTGTCACTGGAAACTTCCATTGGCATTGATCTCCCAGGAGATTGGAGGGATTTGGTCAATCATCATGATAGCCACAACAACAGGACCATTACCATTGCCAATGAGACCATGACGGTGGTGGATGCCCTCAATGTGTCGTTTGTGGAAACCTACAATGCTCTCGTATTTCCCCTTTGTGACTGGCCGTATTTTCGAAAAGTGTCGGGAGCACAAGCCAGTATTGCCACCCTTTTTGATCCCTTTGGAAATACCACCACAGTGGCCTTTGACGTGCTGGCAGAGTGCCGGAATTGTGGCCCGGACACGCCACTTTTTCAAGTGATTAATGATAACACGAATGGTTCTTCCGTGCTCTCGCCAGCAAGCACCTCAACAGTTCGAACGGAAGCATCCAATGTGGTTGTCCGACAAGGGTTGGGATTGACAGATGATGGATGTCTCTGTCCCAGACCCGATGATACTACAGTGTTCCGTGCTCCCACATTGGAGGAATTCACGGCAGCATTCCTATCAGAACTGGCTAAGATCCATCTTCCGCCACAAGAGGAGGATGACAAGGAACTAAAAGATGTGCCATGTGCCTCGGATGTGCGGGAGTTCACTTCTTATGTCTTTTTGGACTTTACGATGAATCGGAGCAGTGATTTCCAAACTATTCCTGAACAAGATCGGAATGTTTTGGCGCAGAGTTTCACAAGTCTGTACAACCAGCTTTCCTTCCAGTCCTGCGATCCATTTTTTCGCAATGTGTTGGCAGCAAAACTGGAACTCAATGCTGATGCCGCCCTTCTTCGACGGCAGCTCCAAGAACAGATAAATCCCAATGCTTTTTCTGCCAACACTATCTCTAGGAATGGCACCAACATTACCCAAATCCAAACACAAACACCCATTGCCCACAATCTCAACGAAACAACACCAGAAATAGTTGCCGGAGCCACAACTGGAGCTGTTTTTGAAGTCACCGGTCGCGATGCCGTGGTATGGTTACCTGTCCTAGCCCAACTGTCACTTTTTGAGGAAGAGGAGCTATTTTGCAGCTGTCTAGCTTGCCATGATGGACATTTTTTGTGACGCTCCGGGTAGCCAGGTACATATGAGCCCTGCGCTCCAGTCATGATTTTGACACAGTTCGAGGCGAGTGACTACACTATCACTGCTAGCGAGGAGCACTGGCCAGCAAAACTTAGCAGCGTTCGTGAGTAACATGGCTTCTGGCGACTCGGGTTTCGACTCCTCTGCGCTTTCGTCATGTGCGTGACCACTCAATATTCTCGCTCCATATGCAATCTTCTTCTCTTATCGTAAAGTCAGTCAGATCTTCCTTCGTGAATCCATCAACTTCTCGATGAGTCTACTGGAGTGAATACGTTTCCACTAATTCAAGACCGTCTATGGATTGGACCTATGCCGGTTCCGGATTCAGGCTAGCCTCGCACCCGGCGTAGAATCTCGTGCGGTCTCGACTGCCGTGTCTATTCGGATATGCGAACGGGACTATAGTATAGTGAGATTCTGTCCGTGGCGGAGAGTTAATGACCCTTCTATCCAGGTCATATCGTCTGTCTTTGGGTTTGTATATAGCTAGTGAGTACTCGATTGTTGAGACATATGATTCTTGTGGCACTTAGGGAATATAAGCATAGTGAGTGCTTGGGGATCAAGGAGCGACAGAGAGGAACTCCTACATGTGTTCGTTTTTGGTGCCAGTGCGAGCGAGCGCTTACACTGGGAATCGTGAGCTTACTAGAGCGTGCGCGCGTGGGGTCTTTGTTTGTGGGCTTACACTCGGATTTCTTACTTCCGTAATCTAGCTTTGTCAGGGTAGTGCCAAACCATCGACGATCAATCTTTCATCGGAGATGTCTCGCAATCCTTACGGTATGATGGAGGAGACAGCCCTCATCATACGCACAATATGTCCTATATCAAGTGTTCTCCTCTTTTCTCTTCCCGCGGTCTTGTCCATAGATTCACATTTTACCAATATGGGGAGCCCTCAAGGTAGACATGCGTGTTCAATACTTCACAACTAATCAATCCAGTCTATGGCAATCGACATATAGTGGAAAGGACACGTCGAGGTCACTAACATTGTTGTCTCCTCGAATCACCAGCCAACTTTGCAGCGCGTTCGCTAAGTTAGAAGCATCTCCGTTCCCACAGAATTGACTGATAACTCAGGTCCAATTTGCTATTATCAATATTTCGAGATGTTCTAACCTATCAGAAGGAAAGCTTCAAAATGGCAAGATAAAAGATGTACTGACGCTGGCGCGAGTTAGCGCAGGTATCGTATTTTCATTCAGATTGGTCTGGACGATGCTTATTGTGTATTGAAGCCCTGTCAGTACGTGAAAGTGGGGTGTGTGCGTCGGTTCTCCATGGGCGCCCGCATGGGGCGAGACTACACTCACTATGCCATAGGCTAGAGACTTCCAGTGTTGCTCATATCATAACCCGAGGATCAATGATATGGGCATAGAAACGCGGTTAAACAGTGGACTCGTGTAAGCTTGTTGGAAGATGTCCAGATGTTCACAGTGGACTTAGACAAAGGTAATGGAATAGGCAGCACGGGCATTACCGGATAGTATGGGCTCCATTTGCGTTATGATTCGATATCAGAGTTCACTCTATGTATTATGTGTGTTGGCGAAGGCGATTCCCACAGGATCAGCAACCTACGCACCTTGTGGCTTCCAGTCGTTTTTTTGGCGAGCAATTATATAAGAACTTGGGATTTCTCTGGGAACAGTTAGCCTTCATGTGACTTTATAAACCAATCCTCCTTCTCTTATGGTGCCTGTGGACCGCAGTATAGACTTCATGAAATATAGTTGTCATGAGACCAATGAGCTGCAGATAAAGGTCTACATGTGAGAACGTCGCACTGACCTAGCGCACATATGTCAACCGCAGCAATTCCAACTTAGTGAGGTTTCCGATGACCCATATTCTATATAATGCTCCACAACAAATTACATCGGAGGCACTTCTTATAGAGCTACTATAGCAGGCATATTGAATCACCGATGAATAGAGACTTTGGCCTGAAGGTAGGTTTAGGCGGCAAACTAGGCGGAGGGTACTGGTCGTTTGTGCACCTAGGAGCGGTTCGTCTGCTCGTGGAGGGTATAGTCCAGTCAGCGAATGTTGGAAGCGTTGCGAACCTGTATTTGATGATATTGCCTTCAGAGCGGAGATTCCTCGGCATGCCAACCGCACAATCACTATGTTCAGTGGAATAGCTTCCCCTTTTCGACGGTACACAACGAAGAATACGCTCTTAGTGCGGTAGTTTCTAAGCACAAAGCAGCGTCCGTGTCTTCCCGTGCCTATCTGCGCCTAGCTAGCCCTAGGCTGCAGTGCCGGTGGGTACATTCCGCCAACATAAATGCAAGCATGAAAATGTCTCCCAAATCGGAACTATTCCCCTTTTCTGTCCGGCCAGGCCGAACGACTGTAGCATATGAGATCTCTCCTCAGCTGCAGTAGGGAGGGAGATGAAACGTGGTAGTTTACCGCCTTCGCGCGACCAGGTTAGCTATCACGTGGCCTCTGAAAGAAGCTTCAAGAGTGACAAGATGTGGATTGTGCGGGAGAGTTAAAGACCTTTACCACAACTGTCTTTGTTTATGTCACTGCAAATCATTTGACTGAGATTGGCGAAGAGGCTCTTATGGAAGCTTCTGGTTCTGCGGTAGGTTAAGCTCTGATTAGTTCAGAATACTATTCGCTTGCCTTTATATGCGCTGCCCTTTCCTGGAGCTGATTTGTTGATTCTCAATTGATCGAACTGTGCTAATCTTTAGATGCGCTCCTCCAGTCTAATAGAGCGAACCCAAAGGGATCGCCGTCACCAAATCCATATGTTTGTACTCATACTCGTGAGACTTCGAGAGAAAATGCACTTACCCACTTAATTCCTCCACCCCTTTGAATGTATCAAGTTCCGACTGGACAAGCACCAACACTACTTCCATTCCAATCACAAACCAGTACCTAGTGCTATGGTCTCATACAAATGATCAGGAACCGTGATGGTCATTCGCTGCACAACCTTTATCTTCTCGTCGAATCACTCGGCACTCGCGCATGAGAGTCGGGTCTACTCGCGGCTGGTATGCCCCTCGGGTCTCACAGTCCACCACCGGGTCAGGTTTCACATTGTGTTATAGAGTTAAAACGTGCCACGATCCTTTTTCTCTCTCTGTAATGGCTTAGGAGCGTGGTGTTGTTTTAATTGTTTGCAACATCAGGTCTGCCTTAAAGACGCGCAACTCTTGCCTGTTGCTCAAGCGTTCGGCGCCTGTTTTCCCTCTCATATAAGAGACTCTGTGGACACTTGTTGGTATTTGTGCGCCATATGCAGAGTATTGTATGTGTCGGGTAGTTGCAGTGTGGGGATATTATAGTTTCACTGGTAAACTCATTAAATTAACCGCGCTCGGCAGAAAGATAATACTCAGTGATGGAATTTTTCCACGAGAGTACAAATGTGTGCAGAAGTGGAGCAAGACTTCACATAGATTGTCTTGGAACAGAAGTTAAGGATCGCATAGACTGCTGACAGACTCCAGATACTTGAGGGACATGTAGGTTGCATGATGTGTAAAACTGGGAAATCCTTTCAGAAAAGTTCTCTCATCCCCATAGGGTATTCTATAGACCTAATGGAGTTAATCATACTCAACTGTTCTCAAATCAACATGTGCGAGAGTCTCGCTTGGCCTTGTTTGAGAATACCTTTGGAAATTATTGTATGCATAATGAAAACCGTCTCGTAGTTTTTCGGTTGGCGCACGGTCCATTACACCTACTATACATATTTTACAATGGTGATGGAATATTTGTCCGAGATAAGATTTGTGCAGAACTCTTCACAATTCTCTCCCCGGTATCTCACACACACTCTCACTTATTAGTCATTGTGTCTTAGCCAATAACTCACATCTGCATCGTTTGACTTGCTCCGAATCCATACGTATAACTTGAGGAGGGCTGGTCTACCAGACTGCAATGTCGGTGCGCATCATCAATAAGACAACAGAACTCAATTGCACCCAGCTTCTGGTGCGGTTCCTTTACGGCCTGTCGCTTTAAGCTCCTCTCTCACCGTCCTAACAGTACCTCATTCATATGAAAACGCAAATATCTAACATTGTGATGTATCAAGAGATAAGGCTTTATGCGCCAGAAGGTAGAGCATCGGAAACTGTCGGAGTCGACAATTCCATTGGTTCTATCGTCCAATCGCAGCAACCTTAGCCCGACCTCCTGAATACTGTCCGTGGTTCTCCGCCAAGGGGCTATTAATCTCTGTTGATACTTGGCTAGTGTAGTGAATGTTACTCTTCTCATACTCTCGTGGAGTTTTACTCTACAAGTCTCATGATGTCATAGATAGTGAGGATCATTAGGGCGTGAATCTCTCCTGAGAGCAGGTGAGTCCTGCAGGGATCTGTGCCCATAGTGCGACAATTGAACCTCGAGTTGGCCAAGGACCAACAGCACTGGCGTTTGAAGAGAAGAGACAATTCATAGCCAGAACAGGTGGTGACTTCTGAATACGAAGTGGAAGTCAGCTGCCATCAAGACAATGCGATTGCGTTGGTACGGGGCCCTTTTCTAGTACTGTCTCTCACTACTTCCGTTTTGCGTGTCGCCAACCTCCGTCCGGTTTTTCCACCAAACATTTCAGAAGGCGGCGAAGGACAGAAGAGTCACGCGGTACAGCTACCCGTGCGACCACGAGGTATGTTTCCAAGCGAGAATTCGAATATCAGCGGATTCATAGCTCTATGATTTATACTCCGCGTCAAGTTGAATCCTCTCCAATACTTCGTGCTCATCTGCGTGCGAGCATAGAGACTGGATTAGCTCAAGCTGCTCTTGGGAAGCTGGAGGCCTTTTGAGGACAAGAGCATACTAACATGTGCTTTCATTCCAAAGGCGCTTGTCTGGATGGATCCTTCATCAGATCTGTCGCTTGCATGATTCTTGCGAGCTATCGATATATAGCAGGCTCATTGGGATAGGTGGCCCATTCTCTTGACGGCCCAGCTCTAGAC